GCGTCGGCGTCGGCGTCGGTGCTGCTGAGCGACATGTGGTCTTGTTATTGCCACTAGTGATGGCTGGTCCGCGCTGAATTCCCATCGTGGTTGGTGTTGTTGCTCCCGCTGGACTGTTGGTCCTCACTGTATGGGCGCCTCTTGATGTGGTGTCGAGGTTCACCTTGATGCCTGACTGGGGCGTCCCTCCCTGGATTGGCGTGGTCGGCCGGCCGGGCTAGAGGGTTGTACCGCCTGCTCTGGCCGCCCCCTCCGTCTGGGGAGCATCTTGGGCTTGCGGAGGGGGATGCAATCCATCCAACGGAGCAGAATGGAGACGTCCGGTGTGTCGAGCGACTTCGAAGAAATATCCACCAGGCGTGATTGGCGGAAGGTGATGGGCTTTTGCTCACCATTCCAGCACATCTGGGTGATGCGGGCTGTGTCGTTGTGATAGAAGGAATAAAGAAGAATCTGTCGGTTTGTTAGGTGCGATATCCAAGTGGGCAGGCTGATCACGTAGCGAAATCGGGCTGTGACATACCGGAATAGTGCTGCGTGTATCACTAGTATCCGCCATCCGCCTCTTTATGAAACTGACGCCGGCGGTGATCTCGCTGCGGAGTGCCTCGTTCGGCTGGCTATTGTGGGAAGTGGTATCGGCTAGGACCACTTTGATATGGCGCACTCCTTCCTCTCCGAGCGTCTTGTCGGGAACATAGGTAACCGACCTTGTGTGCCACCGGAGACGCCCTCGAGGCGACCAATTAGGAAGACGGACGCCTCCCCCGGGACTAAGGAGGTCAAGTAAGTATGTAATTCATCTCGCTTGTTACTTGGGAGCGGCGACACGACAGAATGGAAGTGTATACTCACGTAGCCGTGCGCCACTGCGGTATATCAGTGGGATAGAACTCATCTTCGAGAAAGGGTCCCTGACGCAGCCCGGCAAGCCAATCAATGATGCGGCCGGTGCAGTTCAACTAGCCAACATGCGAAGGTTCCTTGGTGCAGGTGGACCATTCTAGTTCATTTTCCTCATGGTCGCGCCTTGTCTCTGCAAGTGCCTCCCTGTATTCGAGGTTGTCGGGGAACGGTTGAAAGAACACAGGATGCGCGTCCGCCGCGTTTGGGCTGTCGATGTTGAGTTCAGGGGCCCTCTCAATATTCATGTTCTTCAGCCGGCTCGTTGAGAGGGTCGTTTCCAACTCCGCAAGGTTCATCAGGTCATTCTCAAGCTTGTCCACCTTCCAAAACCCGGAGGGCTTTGGAAAGCAAGGGTGTGTCATATCGCGCCGTGTGTTGATCGAAAATTGAGAGGAAACAACAGATAAAGTCGAGAGGATGGCGATGTCAAATGATATGGAAGGTTGGCTAGCAGACTGGTGAAGCCGACAGAATAAATACAGGACTTTAGGGCAACAGGCCATCTAGTTTTGTAAACAAGCAGAAACACGCTCAGACACGGAGACCGCAAACCACCACGGATGCTGTTGGTCTCAGGTTGTTTCTCCTATCTTCTTCCACCCACTTGACGTGTACCCAGGCAGCAAGGCCCATTGGTTGAGCTTGCATCTCATCTCATGTTGGCACCAAAAATCGGCCGTGCCTCTCAGCCTTCGGGCCGGCGCCTGTCCCATTGGCCCCAGTTACTTAAGCTCCATACTTGGTCTGATGTGCCACTGCGGTAACTAAGGTACCCAGGTACCAAGCAGATCTCCAAACTTTAACCCCCCATCCACCACCAAAGCCCCCCACATGCATCGTGAAGGTGCGAACACCCGACAGTCGGCAAAACCGCACGCCTTGTGTTGTGTAGGTATGTATAGGGAGTAGCACCCAAAATTCAGAGTACACCGTGGTTATAAATGATACGTACACCACCCCCGACCGCATCGCAGTATCGCCCGCCGCTGGTGTCGCCCTTGGGGTGATGACAAGCTGGTGCTAGATGGGAATGCCAAACGGGACGTCAGGCCGGCACATGTTGGTCCGCTGAGGTCCAAGATATGACATGACACATAAACGCCACTCCCCTGCTGCAGGTCTTTGTTTAAGACCTTGGTCACAGGCCATCATGGACATGCTTCTGGGACCAACAAGACGGTTTGTGACGGCCCTATGCGATCAGAGACAGCCAGTGGAGTCTTCCCTTTCCGCCCTCATCCTCAGACATGGTGGCCTCGAGCCCCTGGTGGCTACTTTGCTGCAAACCCCCGTGTTTTGCGTGCCACGGGGCTTCTGGCTATTCTGGGTCTCCTCAGGGCCAACCCATACAAGGCCGACAGCCGACAAGGTCTGGGTGTGTTGTTTCAAGCCGACGGTTTCGAGATCAGTCGGCAAGGGTTGTGAAAGGCAATGTGGCTTTCCTGACGGCGATAGTGATATAAGACGGACGTCTATAGATTTCGCAAGTGAGTTGCCTGTTGTTAATCATACAACATCCCGGATCAAACACTCTTACTCCTTACTTCCCAACCTCCTTCGAGCCCACCACAAAGCCAGGCTGCCAGTCAACATGCCGGATCGGAATCCGCAAACAGCCCGAGTCTGGAAGAAAGCGGTGAAAAACCACCTTCCTGTCCCCCCAGACGCCATCTTGCTTTCCGACCTTACAGGCACCACATCCGCCTCTTGTCTCACATTCTCCCCTTCCTTTGTCTCAAGGTTCTGCGGGACAGTAAAGAGGGGGTAGATTTTGCCCTGAACCAGTATGTCGACGAGGAGTCGATCGCTTTGGCAAAGCATAAGCTCGGAAAACCAAAAGCAAAGGCTTTCTTAAGCAACATCAAGCGCAAGCAGTACCCCGACGACTCCATCTTCTCGCTGGTGAATTTGTACATGGATTTGGTCTTCGACTTGGACGAATCTTCCGACTGGACCACGGCGGTCCTACTCCCCCCACGGCCCATTCGCCAGGAGGCGCCCCGCCGCCGCGCCCCCGAGTCCCCATCGGCGGGAAGAGGCCACTCGTCGCAACCGACAAAGATGGATATAGACTAGGATTCGCAATCAGATTCGCAATCGGACACGTCAATGGAAGATGTGTCCCAAATGGAGACAGGTTCCCAGCCTCCCGAATCGCCCTCCTCGGGCGGTCCGACTCAGAAAACAACGCAAGCCGCGAGTCAGCGGCCAGTAAAACCGAGTTCATGCCTACAGAGGACGAAGCGATTGTGAACATGGCCTTTGTTTTCTTGCTCAATTCGCTAACCGAGCCCTATGCGCCTATGAGGCACAAAGGCTACCGATGGCTAACTAACCACGAGCCTGTCCGGATTTTCAAGCAACTGAACGCTGCCGGGCACCCTCTCCCTGTCAAGGGGAACAAGCTTCTCGAGGCTCGGACCGCCGGCTGTTTTAGGCACACAGGCCACAACATCTCGGCCGCGTTGATCGAAGTTAAGCCATGCGTTCGGGAGACGGCCAGGCGGAGAATCGAATGGCAAGAAGGCGCTCAGATGGCAGCGTACATTTACAAGCTACTGTACATGCAGTCGCCGCCGAGCCCGGGGTTTGGGTTACTCCTCTGCGATAAACCAGGACTGAAACGGTGAGTAACCCTTAACGACAACTTAATATGCTGTGGGAGACGGACTACTAACTGAGTTTTGATGTTGTCTCAGGAGGCTGCTCGTATCCCAGGACCACGCCGAGATATATGTCAACATTGCCGAGTATGACGCCGCCTACGAGCGGTACCTCGGGCTTCACGACCCCCAGAACTCTTCGGCGCCACCTCCTCCGCAGGCAGGAGGCGACCGGGGCAGTGCGGCGGCTAGGTGTGACGAACCTACTCCAGGACCCCGTCCTGTTAGGGTTCAGCTTCGGTCGAAGGTAATCTTGCAAGGGTGCTTAGGTTCAGTGCAGCCAAAGGGTGCACAACAAAGACTTGTCTCAACAGTAGGCTTTCGAGCTTGTAGCGAACTGTAGTTGTGGTTGCTAACTGGAGAACTCCCAGAGCTCTCCAGAACGAGTGACTATATACCTAGCTAATTCCAGGGTGCTCAGTGTGCTCAGTCTGCCCTTGGCAACTGAGCTCACTGATCACCGTCGAGCTATTGTTATCCTGATTGGTGATCTTTACCTGGTGCTCAGTGTGCTCAGTCTCGGCTTGGCGACTGAGCTCACTGATCACCTCGATCACCTTCCTGGCTCCCTGATTGGTCCTTTTAATGATTGCCTTGGGGCGTCCCGCGACCTGAGGTCCCTCCTGTTGGCATATTCGTGACACTAGGGCTCGCAAAGGCTTCCTAACGATGAGGTGCTTTGGACCGTGGCGTAAGTCCGTGCACCCCGTTTCCGATCAGACCACTAACCGATCAAAATCCACCATCAGCCCCCCCGTTCTCGGTATCTACAGGAGGGTCGAAGATCGACCATTCCAGGCACATATCTTCGAGGACATAGCTATTTACTACTTCCGAGGGTTTCAACTCCTCTGCAAGTGCCTTTTTGGCCTGCATTATTTGCTCAATTTGAGCAAACCGGGTGTTAGGGTCCAACCTAACCTTCTTCCTTTTCCTAGGCTTCAGCCTGTCTACCTCAACTTCCAATGCCCGAATCCTCTGTTGTTGACTAGCTAGCTGGATAGCTGTGTAGTCAAGACTTTTGCCAACCTTTGCAAAGAGAGTCCGAGCTACTGGGTCTATTGCTTTGGGTCGCTTTAGACGGTAGTTGGTAGCGACTAATTTGTGGACCTCTTGACTGCGACTTGGAGTCTTAACCTCCTGGCTGCTCGGCTTGTTGACACCCTGACTGCTTGGCTGAGTTGGCTGAGTTGGCTGAGTTGGCTGAGTTGGGCTGAGTTGGCTGAGTTGGCTGAGTTGGCTGAGTTGGCTGAGTTGGCTGAGCCGGCTGGGTCGGCAAGAGTAAACGGCTCATGAGAGGCTTGTCGACGTTGACTGGCCATAACCCTGACGCTTTCCAACCACTATACTTTTGTTCCTCTTGGTCTTCAGAACCGGATATCTGTTGATGAACTTCTGGAGCCAATGCTTGCCAACAGTCTGGTCAGATCCAGAGGCATGGAGGATGCGGTTGGCGAAGGTCTGGATCTGCCTATGCTTGACAGGAAGCCCAAGAGCCTCTTGGGCAAGGACCCAATCGGCCAAGTGTTTTTCTTGATCGGGGCTGAGCTTCTGCATCACCTGGGCTTGGTATTGACCCTTTGGTTGGGCGTGGGCAACGACTCGGTCTCGAAGGGTAGAAAAGGGGACCCCCCAGGCCTCGCTAGCCTTACGGATAGATTGTCCATCCTTGACAGCCTGGATTGCCAACTGAATGATGTCTTCGCGAGCCATAACAAATATGGTTAAAATGAGAGCAACAGGATTAGAATTGGGCTTGATTTGGTGAATCTGTGTGGGTTGGAACAGAGAGGGTGCCGGATCAGGAGGGAGTGAAAATTTGATCGGTTAGTGGCCTGATCGGAAACGGGGTGCACGGACTTATTGATACGCCGACTGTCCGAAAGTACATTTGTGAAGCTCTCTTGGCTTTCTCGTTTTACTTAACCAACCTCGAGTAGTCGTTGGGCCTGTTTACCAGCGTTTGGATAATCAGAATCACGCTCATCAGGGGTCTTCTATCGCCAGTTTCCGGTAGGGGGGAAAGATCAGATCGGGGGGGGGGGGGGGGGGCTGGGTCTTCGGTAATTGTCGGTCTCTTTAGGTTGTTTCTCATTTGGCGTTCATTTTTATAACTAGCATTTCCATTAAAAAAAAACTTATATGCTCTACATAACTAGTTAATTATTACTTCCATTTAATATTTAAAGGACTATCACTAAATGTTAGAGAATATCATTATCTATAAACCGCTCTCATCTACCCACCATCGTGACCAACCAAGTCCTTCTCCAACCCCTCCAAGAAACTATCCGCCATCTTCTTCGTCCTCCGCTCCAAGATCTCCCTCCTCCTCTCCTCAATCTCCTCCTTCCTCCTCCTCGCCTTCTCCTCCCTCTCCTTCCTCAACCCCTCCGTCCTCGCCCTCTCCGCCTCCAGCGCCTTCATCTCCTCCTCCCTGCGCCCCTCCTCCTTGCTAAACTTGTAGAACCCCACCCCCTTGGTGCGGATCTCCCAGTCCGCCTGGTAGTGGGTGGCCTCGGGGGGCGTGGGGCTGCGGTCCCGCTTGCGCGCGAGCGCCTCCATGGCCGCGCCGCCGTCGTGCGCCGCGAAGGCCTCGGCCTGCACCGCGTCGCCGTAGATGAGCGTGCTGGGCGCCTTGGGCCGCGCCGACATGTTCTCGAGCTCCGTGGCCGACGCCGCGCCCCGCTGCAGCCGCAGGATCTGCGCCCGGGTGAGCTGCCGCACGCGCCCGAACTCGTCGGTGTATTCATGGAGGGTGGTGTCGGTGTTGTTGGCTTGTTCGTCGTCGTCGGGCTCGGAGTCGGAGTCGGAGTCAGAGGAGGGGGCGGCGTCGGTGGGGTTTTTCTTGGATTGGGACTCGGCCCATTTGCGGTCAAAATCGACGAGCCCGACTTCGCGGCCGATGTAATCCCCTCGTTGCATGGCGGCGTAGAGGCGGGCTTTGGATTCCATCTTGCGGCGGGCGAATTCCCGCTCGGCTTTACTGTCTTCTGTTCCGAGGGGGGATTTGAGGGAAAGTTTATTGTTGTCTTTTGTCTGGGTATTTGCCTTGCTGTCTTTGCGCTTCACTTTGGTATCCGAGAGGCTATCTTTTTTTAGCTTCGATGGGCGAGTTCGGCCAGTCGTGGGTCCGGCGGAAGAACTCGTGCTTGATTTGGCAGATGGCTCAGCAAGAAATGAGCTCAGCTGTGAGCTGAATGCTAGAGATCCCGAGAGAGCTATCTCTTTCTTTTGCTTCTTGGGCGGCGGTTGCCCGTACAGATGTGGATCTTGCGGCATCCTGTCGACGATGTGAAGGGTGATGCCGGCGTCCGAGATGTTCGCAGTTGTGGTGGTGAAAGGGTAGCTTATCTTTGTCGCGCCTAGTTTATCTCGTCGTAAATTCCCGGTTGTCGCCTTTAATTAAGTGCTGGTGTCGTGCTTTTTAAGTGTTCTGCGCCACAGAACCGGCCTTGACGTCTGATGTCTGATCTCCAAATGCATGCAAATGCAACCCTGCGGCCGTTGCTCCCTGGTAGCTTTTGTGGGGAAGCCCAGACCCGCAGGTGGGGCCAGGAGGAGCATCCGGCATCCCTGCTGACCATGCGCCTGGTGCCAAGGGGCAGGTGCGGGAATGATTCGACGAGCACCGCGACAACAGCTTCCCGGAGAGGCCTCGCTCCATCCCTTGGTTCTGCCGGGCAGATTATCGCGGATAACCTCCTCCTCTAACCCGCGCTTCCAAAGCTTTCCATCTTCCTGGCCCGATCATCCCCCTAAATCAACTCGCCCTTGATGGAAACCCATCATTCCCTCGGAGAACATGCAACGTCATTCTGGACCAACAGTCAGCTAAGCTATCGAGCTTGATCCTCGACTTCGATTGCGCTCCTCGGCCACGGTGCTACATTCTCGGCGTGCACCGGCCTTGTCGCTTGGACTGCCACATGATCAGCATCTTCGCGACGCCTTGTTATTCAACGACGCTGGACGCTTCGTTAGCAGGTCCCCAGAACTCCACACCGTCTCGCCTCCCTTCCACGTCAAAACACAACGACCAAGATGACCGACTACGCTTCAGCACCCACCAGCTGGTATGTCTGGCTCAGCGAATTGAGCATCATCCCGCAGGAATACCGGTACATCATTAGCACCATATCCAGCCTTTTTGTGAGTCGAATCGCTCCCGTTATCATTCTCACCATCATCGTGGCTGACTGAGCTTTTGGTCAGATCATACTCGCCCTTACACCGATTATACCGATCGTTGCACTGGTGATCTACGACTTAATCCTTTGGTTTTGGAGGCTCGCAGTCGCCAACTGGCGTGCCAGAACTGCACCTCGTATTGAAATCGTCCCTGCCGAGTCCCCGATATCACCGATAGACAGCGCTGGCTGAGCCGGTCCGTTAGATGATCAACCAAGGCCGGCAATGGACCTTAGCAAGCCCTGGGGATAATGTAGCACTACCGCAGACTGGCATGATATGACACTGAACGGGGGCACGTTCGAATAGGGGGGGGTTCTTGGGACCTAGGTAGTATATCTTGGCTATGTGGCTAGGGCAGGGCTGACCTGGCTAAGCAATCTGGGAAAGCACCTTCAGCAGGTCGCTCGTCACGCCCATCGCCGTCACATCGCCACCAGCGCCAGCGCCCTGGATGATTAGCGGGTTGCTTCCATACCGCTTAGTGTAGAAGCTAATGATGTTATCGCTGCCCTTCAGCGCCGCAATGGGGTGTGACAGATCGAACTTCTCGAGCCCGACCTTGACCTGCTTCGTGGCCACGTCGATGCTACCAACGAAACGCACCACCTTGCCCTCCTTCTCCGCCGCCGCCTTGGTCTCCTCCATTTGGGCATCAAACGCCGGCAACTTCTCGAGAAACTCGTCCCCGCTAGCCACAGACTCGAGTTCCTTGGGGATGAGGCTCTGCACGGGGAAGGCGGCCGGAGACTCCACCGGCAGGCCCGCCAACCGCGCGAGAATGGTCAGCTTACGCGCGACATCCAGCCCGTTCAGGTCATCTCGCGGGTCAGGCTCCGTGTAGCCCAGCTCCTTTGCCTTCTTCACCTCGGCCGACCACTTGCCGCCGGACCCCGAGGTCGGGGCGAACGAGTTGAAGAGGAAGGACATGGTGCCGCTGAAGACGCCCTCGACCTTGGTCACCTCGTCCCCCGTGTCCACCAGGTCCTTGAGCGTCGAGATGACGGGCAGGCCGGCGCCCACCGACGATTCGTGGTACACCTTGGCACCCGACTGCTCGGCGGCGCTGAAAATGTCCTGCCACAGCTTGTAGGAGCCCGAGAAGGCCTTCTTGTTGGGCGTCACGATGCTGATACCGTGGCTGAGGAAGAGCGGATACGCATCGGCGACATCCTGCGAGCTGGTGTTGTCGACGAGGACCGTCTTGGAGCCCGAGGTGCCGAGGAAGTCGACGAGCTTCGGGAGGGCGAGCGGAGTTTGCTGGGAAGAGGCGAGGGTGGTTGTGACGGTGTTGAGGGGGATGGCCACGTGGTCGGTGCTGTAGATGGCCTTCTTGCTCGTGCAGATGTAGGTCAGGACGACCTTCGGGCTCGGACGGCGGACGGTCAGCTGCTCGAGCTGGGACAGGAAGCACTTCCCTACCCCACCAGCGCCTGGAGCTGTTGTTAGCCGAGTGAGGTTAACTGGTGGTTTAGATGGAGGAGTGCCTACCAATGATGGCAATGTTAACCTGCCGGACGGAAGCTGCAGCCATTGTATACTATAGACTTCGGACGAAGAATGGAAGTATTTCAATCTAACTTTGATGAGTGACAGAAACAATCGCGGGGTATTTGTTCGGCAGCTCAAAATATTGCCCATGACGCCGATAGCGGGGCAGCCACCCCTGAGAACAGGGGTCATTGTGCCCCACGCTGCAAGCCAAAATTTGGTGGAGACCGAAGCTGCGTGGGATGCTGCGTTTCTTCATGTGTAAACTCTTCACGCCTCACTCTCTCGGTATCCCAATCACACACCGACCAACACCACACACGAATTTCAAATTCATTACTATCCAATCTCATACAGAACACCTTGGGAATTTGGCACAATGGGCGGCGACAAGATCAAGAAAGACAAGCGCCAAAAGCGCGAGGATTACCGGGCGGCGATGAGGAAAGATGACATCTCAGAACTGCCCAGGAAGAAGTTTTACCGCCAAAGAGCCCATGCCAACCCCTTCTCCGACCACCAATTGATCTAGTGAGCATTGATTCCATATTCGTGGGGGGCGTGGGCATCCGAGACTAATGAGAATACAGCCCCCCACACCCGGACCAGATGGACTGGTCATCCCTCTACCCACACTACATCGTCGACGAGCCAACAACAACATCACCACCACCACCACCGCCAGTCCCCGAACAGACCCCCTCCGAACCCGACCTCACCCCGCTCCGCCCCAAACCACTCTCCAAAGAGGTCTCGGTAGCCGACATCGGGTGCGGGTTCGGCGGGCTGCTGATCGCGCTGGCGCCGACGATGCCGGAGGCGCTGATCCTGGGGCTGGAGATCCGGGTGTCGGTGACGCACTTTGTCGAGGACCGCATCAAGGCGCTGCGCGCGCAGAACCAGGCGGCGGGCCTGTACCGCAACGTGGGCGTGCTGCGCGCCAACACCATGAAGTTCCTGCCCAACTTCTTCCGCAAGGCCCAGCTGGAAAAGGTGTTTATCTGCTTTCCGGACCCGCACTTCAAGATCCGCAAGCACAAGCAGCGTATTGTGTCGACGACGCTGAATTCCGAGTATGCGTATGTGGTTAAGCCGGGGGGGATTGTGTATACTATTACTGATGTGCTGGATCTGCATGAGTGGATGGTCCAGCACTTTGATGCGCACCCGTCGTTTGAGCGCGTGTCGGAAGAGGAGCAGGAGGCGGATCCGTGCGTTGCTATTATGCGCACGGAGACGGAGGAGGGGAAGAAGGTGGAGAGACATAAGGGGGAGAAGCATGTGGCGCTGTTTAGGAGGCTGGAGGATCCTGCTTGGTGAGAGGTTACTTGGTGGGAGCGGGGATGGGTTGAGCGTGATGATAGATGATACCAAATAAGTTGGGGCTCCCGGGAAGGCAGATGTCTCTTGCCTCTATCGTGTTCCCACCTATGTAATTCGTGGCAACCATTCCCAACCACGCATGGCAACGGACTTTGCAGGAGCCTCATTTCTTAACATTGTCAAGACACTAACCCGCCATCCAACCCCTACGCCCGCCGATATCCCGACCCCAAGACCGATCCAGTCATGCAAACAAAACAAGTTTCCCCCCCCCGCCAGAAATGGCATCCAAACCAAACCAGTCAGTACCTATAATAAAAAAAAAACGACAAACGAGACGTTTACATATCAATGTCTTGGGTATCATCTCTCATCTCGTCGCTGCCGAGCTCCTTCTCCAACTCATCGGCCACAAACGTCTCGTACTCCTCCAAGCCCTTCTGGACGTGCATCTTGAACTTGATGACGTCGTTGAGCATGCGCATCGTCTCTGTGTGTAGCTCTTCGCGCAGCGCATTCGCCCGGAGGGTCAGTTGTTCATACCTGGAGGGGGCGCTAGGTTAGCCACACGATTTAGGCAAAAAGTAAGAAGGAATAAGAAATGCCGGCCACGTACTCAATATTAGTATTCATCTCGCGCTGTTCCATCAGCTGCACCGACTCTGACAACTGAGCGCGCATCTTGGCGAGCTCCTTCTCCATCTTCTCGATCTGGGCGTCGGAAGCGAGCTTCTGGGCGGTGGTGACCTCCTTGGTCTTCTCGTACTCCTCCTCGGCGGCGCGCACGCGGTGCTCGAGGGCCTCGACCTCGTTGCGCTTGTCCTCGATGGCCTCCTTGGCGCGGTCCAGCAGGTCGTGGTCCTCCATCATGGCGTCGAGCGCCGCCTTGCGCCGCTCCGACACCTCCTTGCGGAGCCCCAGGAAGCTGTTCTTAACCTGCCCCCGGAGGTCCAGGTTGAGCACGTGCGCCGGTTGGTAGCCCGTGACCGGGTCCGCGAGGAGCCGGTCGCTGTCGCCGGGGCCGTACGAGCCCTGCAGCTGGGACGAGGTGAAGTTTGGGCCTTCGTTGACCGTGACTTGCAGCTCGAAGTCCCTGCCCTTGGCGTTGACGGCCGTGGAGGGCATCAGGCCAATCTGGTACGCGACCGTGTTGTACCGGTCCACCATGCGCTCCAGCTCGTCCAGCCTTTGGCTGGCCTCCATCTCCCGCTCTGCTACCTTGCGCTTGACGTCCTCTAACCGCTGCCCCGCCGACTCGATGCTCCTTTGTAAACGCTCCCGTTCGGCAGTCATGCGGTCAATATCCTGCATGCTGATTCCTTGGTCGTCTACGGCGTCCTTTAGGTGTCGCCGTTCATCCTCGGCCTCTTTCAGCTCGCCCTGTAGTTTGTCGAGCTCTTCCTGTAGCACTTGGATGCGGCCCTCGTATTTTTCTGACCGCTGCATAGCCAAGGTGTTGTACTCCTCGAACTTGGCCTTGTCCTCTTCCATGATCTTAAAATGGTTGTCGAGCACGGCCGGGTCGGGTGTGGATTTCTCAAGCTCCTCGATCTCCTTGCGTAGCCTGTTGTGCTCCCCCTCGAGCATCTCCATCTCTTGGATGTACTTTGCGTTGGACCTCTCAAACGCCCTCGCCATTCCCTGCACGTGCGGTACCAGGGCCTTCTCAACGTCATCGTCACCAGCCTCGTCGTCCATATTGAGCCAATCCTGGTACGCGTTTGTCAAAAAGTCAAAGATGATGTTATCACCCGCAACGTCAACTCCGGCCTCAATGCACGCCTCGTCGTACTGGTGAACAGAATACCGCTCCAGCATCTGAGCCAGCTGCATCATCCAGTGTAGCAACCCCAAGAATGTGCTCCAGTTTTGACCTCCCACCGCAGCAATCTGGCTCTTGGTGATGCTCCTCTCGTAGGGGTACCGAAGTTGTTTGAGGAGCGGTGGTACCTCCTGGTCAATGTTTTTCTGGAAGCGATAACTTGGGTCGATGCGGTGATAGAGCCATTGGAACATGTAGTTGAAGTCCTTTTGTGTCGGCGACTTGATGAAGTTGTCCGACAGTTTGTGGCTCATCTCCATCTCAAAGTTGTGTTGAGCGAGATACTCCAGCAACTCCTGTCCAAGACGATTCTGATATGACCTATCCTTTAGTGGGCGGGGGTCTCGTGGTACGCCAGCGGCCTGGGGCGCTTGCTGGAAGAAGCTTTGGTGTCCGCTCATGGGGCCGGCAGTCGTCGAGGGGCGAGCTCGGTAAACGCTACTACGGCGGTCGTTATCGGCGGACGGACCGGGTGTGTGATACGGCTTGAGCGACGCTGTGGTGCCGGGATTGTACCCCGCGACGGAGGCGCGCTTTACGGATGACAGGCCAACATCAGCGATGTTCGGTCCCGTAGAGGAGCGCTGGAACATGGGGCTGGTTCGGGCGCGCGGCGAGTGAGTGGCGTGACCCGGACATGGAGCGGCCATGGCTGGCGCTGCCGATGGTGCTTGTTCGCTTCATTGCGGATGGGGGTTGTGGGATGCCCGAATTGAAGTTGAGCCCTCCTAAGGTCTACACAGACAGTCAGCGCCATGCTGAAGCACTTGCGACCGAGCCAAGTCGTGATCATCGTACCTCCCTTGGTCTTCGGACACTCCAAAGATTATTGTCTTGCGACATGATATCTGAGCCAGGAGCCGGGTGGTCTCCTCTAAGTCCGTCGACAGATTCGAAAAGACGCCAGAGCTAAGTTCCCGATACTAGCCCGATGTGGGATGGCTAGGTACCGGTGATTGATTTGTCCAGGTCGGGATTGCAAGCAAAGGTTGGTTGGTGGTGGGATGTTTTGCGTAACGGAAAGATGGGTGAAATTACGACGTTTACGGTCTGTTGCCCAGATAAACAAAGTTGACAAGGCGGCGGGGCTTTCACTGGATCGCGCGTCAATGACCCACACAAGTTGAATCCCAAAAGCGGGTCTGAGACTGTGAGCTTGGGGAAATCCATGTGACACGTGATGCAGCAACTTCCAGATCCGGGGATCCACTGCTGCCGCGCTTGGCAGCCGCTTGGTGGAGCGCACGGACTGCCGGTGCTGAACCTCGGCTTGTGATGCGCCATTGCATTTGCTGGCCATCGCCTTTGATCATCCGGCGCGCTGCGCTTTCCAGCTCCAACAACCCGATCGTCATCAAATACCCTGGGGGAACTTGTTGAACGAAGGTCGCCGCATCAACGCTATCTGACATGGCCATCCGTGAGGATCTGGTCGCTTCGGCGGTCAAGTGTGAGTTCCGTCCGGTGTTGCTCGATGGGAACTAGAGTTCCAAAACAAAGCGGCTGACACTTGCTCGACAGTCCTACAGGACCCTAGCGTTGCTTCGTCTCCGGTTGAGAAGAAAGTCGCTTTCCTTCAAGCCAAGAACCTCACGCAGGAAGAAGTGAGCGCAGCACTCGCGCGAGCAGGTGCTCCTGCTCCGGCGCAGGGATACGCGCCTCAATCGGCATCATCGGCCGTCGCGCAGCCGCCGCAGTACTATGGACAATATCCACCGCAGTACCCCCCTTACGGCTGGCAACAACCGCCGCCACAGCCTATTCCGCGCCGGGACTGGAGGGATTGGTTCATCATGGCGACGGTGGTGAGCGGCGTGTCATACGGGCTTTATAGTTTAGGAAAGGTAAGAGGGGCCTATTCAGATATGTCGCACGGGGTAGGCTGACAGATTCCTAGCGCTATGTTTACCCCTTGGTTTCGCCACCGACTCCGGAACGGCTGGAGCAAGACAAGAAGTCGATCGATGAACAGTTTGAGAAAACGTTTGCCCTCGTCGATCAATTGGCCAAGGACACCGAGGCGCTCAAGACGGCGGAGAAGGAGCGCACGGAGAGGTTAGACACGGCGCTTGTGGAACTAGAAACGACTATCAGCCAGCTCAAGTCGGCGAATAAGAGACGCGACGACGAAGCGCAGCGGGTGCGGGACGACGTACAGAACCTCCGTGACTCGATCCCGCGCGGGCTCAACAACCAAAAGGACTTGACCGACACGAGGCTGCGTGAGGTCAACGCCGAGCTCAAGAGCCTCAAGACCCTCATTACGCAGCGCCTGAACCCGACGGCGACGTCGGCCAGCGTCAGCAACTACCTGCGCCCGGCAGTCAGCGGCAGCGTGACGCCGAGCAGCCCGGCCACCACCCCTGCACCGACGGAAAAGGTAGAGGCCGCGGCCAACCCTGCTCCTCAAGACTCGTCTGCCACCGCCCCCCGCCCCTCGCCGTTCAGCAGCGGGATGCAAGCCAAGGCATCGATCCCGGCGTGGCAGATGATGGCGGCTAAGAGCGCTGAGTCTCCCAGCACACCTCCCGTCAACGGCACCGACGCGGGGAGCAGCAGTGGGGCCCAGGAAGCTTCGGGAAGCGCATAAGTGGGTGGTAGGTAATGGGGGGGGATGGCGGAAGGGGTTGACTGTTGGAATGCATCGCAATATTTGCGCATGCTAAATGTTGTACATTACGCTGTAACGGGCATTGAAAGACGGTAATTTGGGATTCATCATACCTATATGATCTTGGGACGGCTTGAATAAGGTTACCCACCTACTTCTTCCTCAGGACTCAAAAAGGTGCCTCAGGAATGGTTGCGAACGCCAAACACTTGGCATTGGCCTTCACTGATGCGGGTTTGATGAGAGAAGGCTACCTAATGCAGTGCAAGCGAAGCCAGCTCAGCATGATAAGAGTGAGTTATTCCCAACTTGGAAATGCTTGCGTTCCTTCAGCTCTCCTCTAGAATGCCCAAGCATATCTCTACATCACGGCGGTTTGTTTCCGGCCTGGCAATTCGGGGTCAATCCTTTGAAGGGAAGGCTTGCGAATGATCCCGATTCGTTGATTCGCGGATTTGGCGGGTTGTGGGTGGACACCGACAGCAACGCCTGCGGAATTCGGGGCTAAACGAGGGGCCCCGTGCCGAGGCTCCTTCCCCGTTTTCATCGGCCCGGGGGTCTCAACATGGACCTGCCCTTCCCTTCGTCTGATCTCCCCCACGTTTTACTGATCGCTTCGAGAAGCTCGCCATAGACGAGCCGATCGGTTGCATTGGCCCCATATCTCGGATTCTGTCCGTACTATGTATCTAAGTGGGCCATTCTAGGTAGAGATGGAACCCTTTCCTTTGCCAGGGGTTTGCTCTTCCAATGGCGCATGAGGTATTCCAAGTCCATTCAAGTTGATAAGAGCCGCCTTCTTCTTTTTGCCTTTCGTACCGATTTCCACAGATTTTTAAATACAAGTCTCGCCCCTTACCGGCCCTTCCATCTTCTTTTTGCTCGCTGCTTCTCGCCTCGAACCTGTGATACAACATCATCTTTTTAACTCCTCTATCCCTTCTTCAAACATGACCGCTCAAAAACCTGATCCCGGGCCTCAAGCCGCCGACAAGTCCGCGGACAATAGCGGCAACAACAAGATGATGCTCGCTCTGATTCCAAAAATACCCCTGATGATGAGGGTAGCCCTCCTTCATATGCTGTCCCTTTCAAAGCAGTCGAAATACCTAGACTTGCGAACCGAAATCACCATCGCTGTGCTGCGCTCCTTTACGAACCCCTCTGTGCCCCGGAGCATCTCGGCTACGCAGAAGATGGCTGCTATGGTTCCCAAGCTGAAGGGTAAGATCTGGGTCAGTAATTACACCTGCCCGGCGCCTCCACCAGAGGAAAGAGGTCTGCAAGACGCCATCGCAAAGGCGATCGACGAGATGCGAAATCCCAAGGTCCCACCACCCTCCTACGAGATGCCAGATCCGGCACCCATCGAGGCCGAGTGGACGGGGTACCGCGCAAACGCGACGTCCGAATCGCGGTTGCCGGATGTCTCGGAAAGAGAACTCTACGCCGAGATGATGAAAGAGGTCAAGAGCCCCGTAACGGTGCTCTACTTTCACGGCGGAGCGTACTACTTACTGGACCCGGCAACCCACCGCCCAACCACCAAGAACCTCGCCAAGCTGACCGGCGGGAGAGTATACTCGGTCCGGTACCGTCTCGCACCTCAGCACCCGTTCCCCGCAGCGTTGATGGATGCGCTGATGTCATATCTCGCACTTCTCTACCCCTCAGAAGGCGCTTTCCACGAACCCGTCAAACCAGAACACATCGTCTTTGCCGGCGACAGGTACGCCTCCCACCCCTTACAACCTCTTTCTCCATCCCTTACTAACCCCCAACCCCCCATTCCAGCGCCGGAGGCAACCTTGCCCTGGCCCTCCTCCAACTAATCCTGCACCTCAACCGCACCTCCTACCCCATCCCCTGGCACAACCACAACCACACCCATCCCATCCCCCTCCCCGCCGGCGCCGCCGTAAACTCCCCCTGGCTCGACCTCACGCACTCCTCGCCCTCCAACACCGCCAACGCCCCCTTCGACTACCTGCCCACCCTCGCCCAACAACTCGCCGCCGAATCCAAACGCCCCGCCTGCGCCGCATGGCCGGCCTCCCCGCCCCGCCGCCACCTGTACGCGCCGGACTCCCTGCTCGCCCACCCACTGGTCAGCCCCGTGCTGGCGGCGTCGTGGGCCGGCGCGCCCCCCGTGTGGAAGTGCGTCACTTGGGATATTTTGACTAGATGAGGCACTGGTTTGCGGCGCACAAGATGTGGCGACAAAGGGATAAAGGCGGTACAGGGGAGATCATTCGATGCCGAATTGTTTTGCGCTGGTGTTTCCGTATTTGGGGGAAAGACGAAGTGCCTCGAGAAGTAACAGAGTTTTCTGACGGTGTTGGTGGAGGGGGGGGGTGGGGATGCCGTGGGGGGAGAGTCGGTGGGTGACGGTGAAGGCGAAGTCGTTGGTGGAGGTGGAGGGGGAGATGGAGGGGTTGTGGAGGGAGGGGGAGGAGGTGGTGGAGGAGAGGGTTTGGAGGAAGATTAGGGAGAGGGGGGTGGCGGAAGAGGGGGTTGCGAAGTTGTGATACCCGGTGTTGGTGTTTGTGTTTGTGGTGAAGAAGGGGGGGTGTATTAATCTGGATAATGTTGGGGTCATGGTGCAGTTAGGGTGTGTAGACAGAAGAGAAGACTAGAGTGTGACCTACCTAGTTAATACCGTGTGCTGCTCTGAAATAACATTAGAACATTAATCCGTATGTTATTTATCCTGTCCCTGACGCAAATAAATCATGGAGCGAGTGGGTGAGGTGGTGAGCAAGCACTCAAGCATGCATATAAGCCAAGGCCAAGTGAGTGAAAGGACCCACACCAAAAATCCTAACCCTCAACCTCCCAACCTCTGTTCATCTCAACTCTCACGAACGGGTGTTTCCCCCTTACCACCCAAAACAACGAGATGTAAACAAATCTCATCCCATTTTCTTTTTTGTTCAAAAAAAAAAAAACATACCTTCAAACACCACCCACAATGGAGCGCCACAAAGCCGCCGTCTCCAAAATCGCCTCCACCGTGCGCTCGCTGTTCGCCGCCCGCGAGCCGTACCGCATCTTCCACGGCAGCACCAACTCCACGCGGCCGCGGCCCTCTGCCTCCTCCCGCACCGTCGACATCTCTGCGCTGCACAACGTGCTCGCCGTCGACACGGCCCGCCGCGTCGCCCTCGTCGAGCCCAACGTGCCCATGGACAAGCTCGTCGAGGCCACCCTGCCGCACGGCCTGGTCCCGCCGGTGGTGATGGAGTTCCCTGGCATTACCGCGGGGGGCGGGTTTGCGGGCACCGCGGGGGAGAGTAGCTCGTTCAGGCATGGGTTTTTTGATGAGACGGTGAATCGGGTGGAGATGGTGATGGCGGATGGGGAGGTGTTGGAGGTGACGCCTGGGGGGGGAGAGGGCGGATTTGTTTCGGGGGGCGGCGGGCGCGGTGGGGACGCTGGGGATGACGACGCTGTTGGAGGTGCGGTTGATGGAGGCGCGGAAGTTTGTCAAGACGCGGTATCGGCGGACGACCAGCGTGGCCGAGGCGGTGGAGGCGGTTAGGGAGGAGGTGAGGAAGGGGGAGAATGATTATGTGGATGGGATTTTGTTCTCCAAGGATCATGGTGTGGTGGTGACGGGGCAGTTGACCGATGAGATGCCTACTGCGGGGGAGAAGGTGCAAACGTTTAGCGGGCCGTGGGATCCGTGGTTTTATCTCCATGCTAAGGAGAAGACGGCGCCCGAGAAGGGCGTGGCGGGCGCCGCGCCGGTGGATTATGTGCCGCTTGCCGAGTACCTGTTCCGGTATGATCGGGGAGGGTTCTGGGTCGGGGCCGCGGCGTTCCAGTACTTCAAATTCGTGCCGTTCACCAGGTTCTTCCGCTGGTTCCTCGACGATTTCCTCCACACGCGCATGATGTATCGCGCGCTGCACGGCTCTGGCGAGAGCGCCCGGTTCGTGGTGCAGGATATCGCCATGCCGTTTGAGACGACAGAACGGTTCGTCGACTACACCTCGTCCGAGCTCGACATCTGGCCGTTGTGGCTCTGCCCGCTCAAGAAGCGTGGCCCACCAACCTTCCACCCGTTCACCACTTTGCCCGAGGGAGTCGAGAAGAAAGAGGAGGATATGATGCTCAACGTCGGTGTCTGGGGCTGGGGCCCGTCGGACTCGGCTGAGTTCGTCAAGAAGAACCGCGAGCTTGAGAACAAGGTGCGTGAACTAGGCGGTATGAAGTGGCTATACGCGCACACGTACTATCCGCAGGATGAGTTCTGGTCCATGTACGGCGGTCGCGGGTGGTACGATGCGCTCCGGGAGAAGTACAACGCCAAGACGCTCCCGACTGTGTGGGACAAGGTGCATGTTGATCCCGACGTCGCCGGTAAGAAGAAGCGGCACTGGCTGAAGAAGCAGCCGCCGCTGGGTGGCTTCTACGGCATTTACAAGAGCATACAGAGCAAGGACTACATGAAGCATCGCCGTGCGTTGTGGAAGTGGAAGGGTGAGTGATACCCTAGAATTGTTTGGGGGTTGTCCGCTAGACAGAACAAGTAAACTGTAACGTTTTTGTAGATTAGAGATAAACGGCGACATCAATTGTAGGATACGAGACGGTCCATATGGGCAAGTCTTTAAGCTACCAGGCTCTCTCAAATCTGAAGAGTTTGTAACTCCTCGACCACATGCTCCGTGAATGCCTCCTGGAGTATTATGCCCACCTCAGAATCATTGGACTGTTCCGCCTGCTCTTCCACGTCGAATCCCTTCTCGCCGTGCGCCCAGAGACAGCGCTCAACCACCTTCCAGTACCTATCCCCCGCGAGATGGCGCAGCTCCTCTAGCGGGTTCGGCCGACCAGCTGCCTCAAACGGTGCGCCAGACTTGACCCCCAACAACCAGTCCCTCACAGACTTGGACTCACCAAGCAGTATGTAGGGCACCTTGACGCCGGGCCTAATTTTCACCTGTTTGTTCCCCAAACACATCACCTTGTACAACTTCTCCCAGTGGGCAATCTCCAGCAGGACCAACCCCAGGCTGTACAAATCATACGTCTTCTTGGAGTTTCTCTCTGTTGGCCTTTGCCGCTGGATCCCGGGCCAACGGTACAAGTCCCAAACAACATCCACGTCCCTAGCCGTCGTCTCAGTCCCATCCGGACGCGAGAACTCAAACCCGGACAAGGTAAGCTTTTCAGGATCATAGTTTAGGCCGACTTGATCAGCGCCATCACCCTCGCCGTTGAAATGGAAAACAACATTATCACTGAAAATACCCTTGTGCAACCAATTGACAGCATGCAGATTCAGGACCGTCGAGCACAACTTCGACGCCATCGACAGGCGCTGCGACAAGCTAGGCTTAAAGCGCCGGTCGCCCAGAATATCGTGCAGCGAGACGACGCGCGTGTCGTAGTCGCTGCCCTCGGGCATCTTGAACATCCAGCCGTAGCGGTCTGCGCCGGAGGACTCGCGGTCGTCGAAGTAGCCCACGCATTCGGGCGCGTGGAGGGAGGCCGGCTTGGGCAGGTGCAGCATCTCGGCCAGGGCTACCGTGCGCAGGGCGGCTTCTTTGTCTTTGAGCGAGTTGGGCGTGATGTCGCCGAGCGCTCTCCACTCGATCCAGACGGGCACGTCGCCTTCGCCGGTTACGAGGATGCCCCGCGGCCGGGGGAGGAACTCGGGGTTGGCGGTTTCGTGCTCGTTCCACTCGAAGTCTTCGGTGAGGTCTGAGTCGGTGAACTTGGGGACTTTGATGCCGAGGTCGGATAAGCTCAGTTCGACGTCGAAGGTGCTGTCGCGTTTGAGTTGAGAGAGGATTGTCTCCGAAGTGCGGCTGAGCTTCTTGAGTTGGATGAGGTCTTGGAGAGTCCTGTCGTTCAGATGGGCCTCCTTCTCTTTGCGGGTACCGGCTGACGTAGATATCAGGTTGGTCACCGCGTCGAACATGTCTTTAAGATCCTCGACGCTGTTCCTGGTCAGGATCATCTCTCTGTAAGTCTTGGCCGTGATGCCATCAATTTGCTTCTCGCGATAGTTTCTCATGAGCTCGTGAAGCCGTTCTGTCAAGGTATGGAGGTCCTTCAACAGGGCGTCGAAGGCTTCTTTGTCAATCGCCAACCACCGGACTCGAACCGGATGGGTGATGATGTCTTTGGTGTTGTGACCAGCCTTTTCGAAAAAGTTTCGGATGTGGTTGGTCCCGCGCGCATGCCGACGGTCGTTCTTCTTCGACTCATATGACATAGCCAGGCTCGAGACTTCTTTCAGTACGTCGATGTCAGTAGGCTGCTCTTCCTCCCGCTTCTCACCCCCTTTATCGCCGTCCTTGGCGGTCCTCGGCAGTTCGTTGCCATAGCGAGCGTTGAGCTCTCTGAACTCTGATAGTAACCACTGAATCCGGGCGACAATCGCAACGAGTTCGATCCCGTCAGATCCCAGAGTAGTGCCCAAAGTAGAACCCTCGGGAACATCAACTAGGCCAGCGGCTTTCCCCCAGGCCAACACCCTGTTGTATTCGATGATGAGCTGCAGCCTGTATTGTTCATACTCTCTCGGCATCTCAACCAGAGCCGTGACGAACTTGAAGACTAACAAGAAGTTAGCATCCTGTTGGGCGTGAAAATAGGAAAGCTCAACTTACTGCGGACAGCACTATCAAAAACATCCCATGTGAGGGAGAGAACCCCGCCAGCGACCTCCATATTGCATTACCCACACGGTCTTCCCGGCCGATAAGCACGATCAATTGAGACAAAACCAGTGCGACAGAGAAGCGGGATGAAACGGGATGGAATATGCTAAATAGGAAACGAGGAAGGGAGCAGAATTAGACGAAACGAACGAAATATTGATAAAGAGAGAACCCAGCGAAATTCGAGGACCATGAACCCAACGCGCCTGCCTATGACCAAGTCTGGAAATAGCGCTCACTCGCTCAACACTCAGGAGTCAATTAAAAGAGCGGAGTGCACAAGCGGGCCACATCAGCACCAAAAGTTCCAAGTTGGGTTAAAATCAGCCAGTGGCTTTGTCAGTGAGGCTCTGGGGTGGTTTGGTACGGAAAACTGAATGAACTCCAGTGAGTCACGGCCGCTGTAAGCCTAATAGAAGCGGGGGTTTGGCTATGGAGAGGGCGGCTTCGAAGCTGCAGACCACCCGACATTCAGATTCGCTTGAATGGAAATGGATCATCATGTCTGCATCCCCACGCAAGGCGGCTGGGAGAAAAGTACCAAGGATGTAGTTTATATTAGTATAGGTAGGTAGGTATAGATAGAGACGAAATTAGAGATATAGAAATAAACAGTCAAGTTGTAAGTTTCGCTAGCCACATGTACCCAAGGTGGCGTTTAAAACTTTTGTTGCATTGCGTTCCTTCCGCACATGGAATTCTCATGGAAAGATGAGCTGAGCTAAGTTCGATCGACCAGATGATTCCAGGGCCAGGCCGTGGCGACCACGTGCTAAAAGCCACTGACAGGTACAAGAGTGGCTGGAGCGAGGCGGATTTTCGCGGCAAGTCCGCCCGCCGAGGCCGATGATAGGCTCAGCAGGCACAAGCAGCAGCACCCAACGTCATTTTATAGGTATAGCAAGGCTGTCACGCCTGCTGACCATTTCCAGTTTCTTCAAAGGCCATTTTCTCTCACCGAGAGCCCCTCGAATTCCCACTCGCTATTGGGATCGGACGGCTCTTGAGTTTACGCAATCGACGACGACCCAACATGGCGGACGTCGCAAATCCTCTTGGAGAAACTTCCACTCAAATACCAGAACCGGTCTCCGCTCTGCGATCGTCCAAGCCGCCAAAGCCGAAGCGGGTGCCGACTCGCGTCTCGATAGCCGCTCCGAAAGGCTCCACCGGCTCCGATGTCACAAGCCCGCGTTCCGGTTCTTCGGGCGGCTTGAACGTGTCGACGACGACATGGAAGAGATTGATTCTGACAATCGATGGCGGCGGAATCAGGGGATACTCATCGCTCATCGTCCTACGGGCGTTAATGCAAGAGATTGAGCGCATCGAGCAGTCTCTTGAGCCCCGAGCCTCAGCAAGCACCCAGACCGACCGGATACCGCGCGAACAAATTCCCGACGATGTGTTCAGAGAAGGGCAGTATCTACCTTGCCACTATTTCGACTATATTGCCGGCACGAGCGTCGGGGGTTTAATAGCTATCATGCTTGGCATGTTTGGGAAAACCGTCGACGACTGTATCAACGAATTTCACCGACAGAACAAATCCATCCCGCTAGCCGACGACGCTTCAGTGGTGTCGTCTATCGACTTTCCGCTTATTTACAGACGGAGCACCTGGCCTACAAAGCGCACCAGTTCCTTCTTCGACACCTTCGCCAAGTTCACCGTTACTGCGACCGGCCGCACCTTGCCAGGCGCACTCGCAAGTCCTACTGTCTCCCGAGCCTCCTCCCAGGCGTCCGCCGCATCGAGCGAGTTTCGGACAGATACGTACCAATGTCAGACACTGGCCTGGTGCACCGAGGTCGAGACCCGCCGCTCGCGGCGCCCCTACGCTTTCTGCACTTACGCGGAGGACGAGAACGACCCCGAGCAGCTCATCTCGATTCCCGAGGTCGCCAAGGCCATCACCACACCCTCCCGCTATTCGTTCAAACCTTTCAAGTTAGGCTCCGGCCAGTTCGTCGACGGCAGCAAACAAATCCGGGACCCGACCCTCGAAGTCCTCAAGGAGATCACCTCCCTCCTCGACGAGGCGGAGCCGGCCATTGACCTGCTCCTCAGCCTGGGCACAGACGAACACCAGGCGTGGTTCTACGAAAAGCTGCGCTCCTTCACGTCGCAGAACCCTGCCACCACGTCCGCCAAGGACCAATGGGCCATCGGGGAGGAAGAGGGCCGCTCCTACAACCACTACCACCGGTTTGAAGTTCCCGGGATACGATTGGGCTGGCGCAAGAAGTTCTTCCTCCGCGAGATCGAGGAGGCCTCTGAGAAGTGGGTCTCGAGCCCCGAGCAGAAGACGCGCATCACGCAGTACGCGCAGATGCTAGTGGAACGGCGGCGCGCGAGGGCGGCGACCGCGAGGTGGGAGACGTTCGCGCTGGGGGTGCGCTACGCTTGTTTTCATGAGGGGTGTGTTATGAAGAGAAAGGCGGATGAGGAGAATCAGCTGTTCACGGGCAGGGGTGACTTCTTCGACCATCTTGATAGGAGACACGATCTGATGAAGATGGCGGCGAAGGGGGCCGTGGATGTAGAAGGGGAGTTGGACAAGGGGAGACGTTTTGGGTGTTCTTGAGTTTTGCGCGGAGGGGTGCATGACAACCAGACAGGCTTGTCTGTTGGTTGCTTTACGTTGCTTTACATTACCTATTTCCGTCGAGGTACTTGTGTGTTTTCCTGTGTTTTTTGGGGCGGGGGGAAAGGCAGGCATCGATAGCGAGCATGGCGTTTTTGGGGCAGCAACTAAACGGATCATGCTTCGCAGGCAGCTCATACGGAAGGGAATGGGGGAAAGGTTTGGCGTTGGGTTGGTTTTTGAAAGCCTAAGAGTCTGCCTCGTCAAGTCTGTGCAGTAATATACCACTTGTGTAATCATGACTCGGCGTTGTCACCTCAGAAGTCAAACTGCAGTCACTCATCGGCTGCAACCCCACACCACCACCTCGACCGTTGTCTTTCTCACTCGTCAGTCACTTCATTCTCCAAATCCCCGCTCGGCATCCTCCCGACATCTTGGAAAGCAGCCCCACAAAAACCCACATTGCCGCGCCGCGCCAGTGTCTCTGGCAAAAGTCTTGTGTGTTTCAGTCTTGGCAACAGGTTGGGAGGCCTCCTGTGCCCGCCCCCCACCTTTTTTTCTGTCAACCTCGATGGTCTTTGGTGAATGGGAATCCGCGATGATGCGAGCGGTTCGCCATTCAGAAGAGCCAAATGATGCACGATGCCATGCCGAGCTGCAGGGCACCGGAAGGCGCATAGGAATATTGGCGGCCCAATGGATGTGTACCTACCTGAGCTTATGCAGGGAACCTCCAAACGTTGGGGTATGTATGTACGTCCCAGGCAGGTTGTGCTGGGCGCACGTTGTCAGCTGTAACCCACGGAGAACGTGCAGCCGGTAAACTAACGGTTCAGTCAGTCGTGTGCCAGGGGCATTGGTACTGTCAAGCTGAAAGGCGGGTGGTTAGGGGGACAGAGAGTGGTTGTGAAAGATTGATGTCCGTGATGGCGTCTGATGGCGTCTGTTTTCATCCATGTGTTCCCCGTTTATTCTTCCGGATCATCAAAAAAGACATGGAACATGACGCATGTTGTCCCACTTCGGAAATCTGGAAACATGGGCCCCACAGTTTAGACCATAAAGCCAAGTTGTGATCTGGAGATAGTCTCCACTTTTCAGCTCAGGAGTGTCGGTATGTTACGTCTTTGACATTTCAGTTGGGATAACTAACGGGCCCTTCTTGCGGGCTGCCTCTGTCTGTTTATCAGGTCTGTTGGATCCTTCACTGTTTCAAACCGGGGCCAACGCGAGCAATTGCTTTGCCCGCTGACGGACTTACGGCACGGACGGCTGTGTATTTGATCTTTGCGGGCCGAGCATCGCCAAAAAAACACAAAAAGTGCCTTGGAAAGATTGATTGCCCGAATCGAACACGGGGAGACGGACTGTTTGAACGACCGGCTTGCCTCATCAAACTGCACTCCGCCAGAGCTCACTGCCACGCTTGGCATTTGCATTGGACGCCTCTCCCCTCTCTACTTTGGAATACTCTCGTCGGAACGAAGGGAAGAAGGGACTGTGGTGACGCGGTGAGTGTGATCTCCAATACCGACTTGCTGACTCGGGCTCCTGTTTGGGAAAGTCCGGGATGCTGCGCCCAGGTAGAGTGTCGTCCTCTCACCGCTGTCTGCCTGTCGGCATGCGATGGCAAGGGGATCGTAACTCTCGGCGGCGGCGGAGTGAAGTTGTGGTTTTATGGAAGTGTACCTGTGCATTAGCGAGGCAACTGACAGATGGAGTTTACATTACAGTGAAATACACCAACAACAGGGATTCGTTACAAGGGGCGCACCAGTGGCAGTCCCCGATCTGGTACCCCACTCAATCAACCTGGGAGCCCTTTCTTCCCTCCGTGTCTCCTTCTCGGCTTGCCAATCCAGCCAGTCTCGGCACAAACCACCTGCAGAGGTTCGCCCCATTCCCCACGACTCGGCTTTTCGGTGTGCCCAAGACGGGACGAAAACGACATTTCGCTCCATCCTTTCTTTGCCCAGTGCGACTTGGCTTGAAGCGGTATCGCTGTCCGAAATGTGTAAGTAGCGACCGCTCTTCCTCTTCCACCCCTTCCACCCCTTCCATCCTACCCCCTCTTGCCCTCAAGCTCGCACCTGTCGGTCAGATACCTACATACAGAGGTACCCTCTTTACCTTGCCCTTACCCCCCCGCCTCCCCTCGGAGAAGTCGCGCATCGTCATCCCATCTTTTTCCAAGTCCCTCACGAGCAATTGGCTCGGGATCATTGGAAACTTGCGACCTTGCCACTTGTTTCGAGATGAGCGGCCCTGGTCATCCAGCCAACACAACAACCCATTGCACCCTCGCTCCTCCCCGTCGCTCCTGAATAGGTAGCCATGGACAACGGCCCAGGTAGCAATCATTTAACTAGTCCCACAGTCAATCTCAAATCGCGCGACCAGCTCCGGCGCATTGAAACCGGCAAGCTCAACAATTCATCCAACGGAACCGTCAACGGCAACGGCAGCTCGAGCGCCCACTTCCCCGACGACATGGACGGCGAGACACGACCCCTCCTGGGGCACCGCCAGGTCGCCTCCGCCCTGCACGCCGAGCCCGGTTTCTGGCGCCATCTCCTCTTCAACTCCCAGAGCAGTCCCGGCACCAACAGCCCGAATCCCTTTGTCCGGTGGCCGGCACTATTGTGGAACGTGACTAAAATCACTCTGTTTAGCTGTACGTACCTTAGTTAAAACACTCTCGGCAAGCTTGGGCGAGACAATGTGCTAACTTGTCGCGTAGCCTGGATCAACCTCCTTCTCGTCTTCGTTCCATTGGGCATCATCGCCGGCGAGCAGGAATGGAGCGCCCCCTGGGTTTTCTCCCTCAACTTCTTCGCCATTATCCCCCTCGCGGCCGTTCTCTCGTTTGCGACGGAGGAAATTGCGGGCCGATTGGGCGAGACGCTCGGGGGGTTGGTGAATGCGACCTTCGGAAACGCCGTGGAACTCATCGTCAGCATTGTGGCGCTACGCGCTGGAGAAATTGAGGTCGTGCAGTCGTCCATGATCGGATCCATCCTGTCTAACCTTCTTCTCGTCCTCGGCATGTGCTTCCTCCTCGGCGGCGTCTACAACATGCGTGGCGCCGACGGCACGGCACCGAACAGAGCTTC